GTAGTCTCACCCTCCCCCCACCGGGTGCTTGTTCTTTTCTACGGAAGATGAATTCACTTGATGGCCTAAGAGATGTCCATTTCTGGATGTGCCCCCTTCATTGTCCCCTCCCATAAGATTCGACAGAATATGTACATTGACAGGACTCCCAGCCACGGGATTACCAGTCTCACCTGCAACAGTCGATGGTCTAGGTGCATCGGCAAGACTCACACCCCCAGGATTGGCAGTCTCACAGCCAACATTGCCACTCCCTCCAGCACTCTTGTCTGAAGGAACGTATCCATCTTCAATATTGTGAATGATGCGATTAAAGATGTATTCCGACCCGACCGTTGCAGCAGGTGGGCGCGGACCTCTGTGGCCGCTCGCATCTGAAGATTAGGGTGTGATGCAGGGGTGCCCCCCCCAATCGCATTGGTTACGAGCCCGGCCCCCGCCACCTCACCTTCCGATTCATTTCTTGGCAGATAGCGCAGGTGACATCACGCCACTCACATGGCAGTCACCACATACTGGAGATGTTCTGCAACGGATACACAGACAAGGAAGTTGTCATTTGGATGAATGCACTTCCACCATGGTGATTGCATGCCTCCTCAATACCTGCAACAATTCGGAACTGCAAGCTCGCAGTCACAGTCAAGTGCACAGGCCGCAAGTAAGGGCCCCCTGATGTCACATCTTGTGACCACGGAACCTGCAAGGCCCTTGCTGTCACATCTTGAGAGGATGGCCGCTGAGCGCCCCAAGCTGTGAGTATGGGATGTGACAAGTGTGGGGCTGTAACCCACAAGCTTGAGATAGAGGGTCTGTGACGTACCAGCTTCCATACCCGAACGATCTTCTGAAGCCCTGAGTTCTTGTTGTTCCTACTCTTCGGATTTCTCTTGGGCTTTTTTTTTAGGTACCCTTTCTTTTTGCTATCCCCTCAGTGCCCAGAACCGCAGGCCAACCAGCCCCTCTCACGCCTAAGGCAATATTTCTTTTGCATTTAGTTGCAATTTCCTTTCGGCAATCCATGCATCTACGTAGGAATTGCATGCGCCTTAGCGAGCGCGCTAGGAATTATGTTCGGCAGTTGGGAACTCCGGAAATTACCGGCGCTCTTCCCGCTAACGTGTCCTTTCTTGCAAATGGATGTTCCCGCACTCACCCTTGAAAGGTCTCTGAATTTTTAGTAGGAAGCTAAAGGTCTCTGAATTTTTAGTAGGAAGCTAAATAGACATAGGATTTTCGCACACTCAATTCCGCGCAATGACATTGCTTTCAATTTTTTCAATTTTGAAGTAGTTTTAGAATCAGAATGGATGGAATGTAACTGTTTTGGTGCCTTTTTCTTTTATGCACCAGCGCCATGCATGCAAGTTTTCCCCGCTTCCCGCTATGACCCATGTCATCTTCACCTTTCTTCTCTTCGTGCCTTCCCTCCTTCACCCGTAACTGTTTTCGATCCCCTCCTCGTTCACGCTTCGCCCCCACTCCTCCTTGTCTGAATCTTGGTCCCGCTCGACGCTACTCTTCGCACTCTCCTCCTTCCCGCCTTCATCCCCATACAAGAACTCCCTACCAACACCCCCCCCAGGGTATTCGAAGCCATCAGGCGACGTCGTGCAAGGAGGATATTCCCCGCACGCTGTGATCTGATTGGCTGCGAAAGGAACTCGCGGGGATCAAAATGGCTTTCCCCAAGCGATTAACCCGAACCCTCTCCTACCTCCGTCCAATTTGCTCCCATCTTCTATCTCCCTCTTCGCAACTATAAAATCCGCAAGCGCATCCGAAAAGTTCTCTCTCAACCCATCTGCTAGCTTCGGGGAAGTCGTGGCTAGGTGATGTGCAAGTAGCAAGTCGAAAAGTCCTGACGAGCCGACGACATTGCATGCAAGGCTGCGCACCAGGTGACCGCGCCGAACTGCGGGATCTAGGCAAGTTGGTTCAAAAGTTGAGTTGGCAGGGTGACGATTGTTGTGGCTTGGAGGTTGGTACGTGGCAGCCGGGATCGTCAATATCTGAGCAAGAAGAGCGTGTGAGTACGAGCGGTTGCATGCCTGGGGGCCATAATCAGAGAGCAGAAGGCCGGTGCATCTTGATCTTCGGTTCTTCTTCTTATTTATGGAAGCTAAGTTCACGGCGGAATGCCGATTTTTTTTCTCAGATCTCTTTGTGCGCCCATAACTCTTTGTCCATAGTCCCCTCCTTCGATCAAGCTACACTTCCGTCTCTCTCTCTCTCTCTCTCTCTCTCTCTCTCTCTCTCTCTCTCTCTCTCTCTCTCTCTCTCTCATCTATCCAATGGATGCCAAATTGACCCAAGGTTTCCTTGGTCTCACTCGCCCCTGTTGAATTCAATTGGATCTCACACGGGCAAGCATCGTTGAATTCAAAGGGACCAGCAAGCCCCAAGAGATCTTATCGGTTTTCCGCTTTGGTTGTTGATTTGTCTCTCGAACCGCTGAGGATTCGTGTATGTCAGATTCGTTACACGTGTGCATCGACTGGGCTAACTAAGCAAAAATCCTGCGGAGATGACGGGAATGCATGCTTGTCGCTCCCTTACTGAATGATGGTTGTCACTGTGATTGGATTGAACTCACACTTTTCTTTTTGATCGGTTTGCAGTATGGACGAAATGCAATAAATCATGTAGCATTGCGACTGTTTACTTTTGCGATTGAGCAACCGAGTGGGCAGACTCGCGTAATCAAAATTTGCTTGTGCCATGTGGACCGATTGCCCCGACCCTATTGGGTGCCGACTCCCCGCATCCCCATCGCAACCATTCCCATATAACGAGGAAAGGACACGTGTATGCGAGTGGGACAAACGGGAAGCCGTCGCCAAGATCGGCGGCCGCTATTATTTTCCACCCGAGACGAGGTGTTCGGGATTTGTGGGCGCTGGTTTTGTCATTATTGATACCGACTTCCCTCCATACCTTTTATTATTGCCTTTTAATGAGCTGATTGTCATCCCGTGGACGACAGTAGCGCCCCACTGGCCCAACACTCTGTGTAGGAGCGATATCGAAAAAGGGGGTTCCACTATTGGACACGTGGCGAAGACGAACACAAAGAGCGAGCGACCAGGCTGAGGCCATCCACATCAGACTCCTAGCTCTGTAACAAGCAACGTCGGGATCTGATTCAAAAACGAGATCCTACATGCGTACCTTCACCCTTCCATTCTAAAAGACGGCGAGTAGCCCGCATGGAGGTTCAACGATACTTTTTGGATTAAATTGATCTTTGGACATTGTGCGTGTTTGCCCCCTTCCAGCGAGACGATGACCATTTCTCACTAAACTGGAACCACGCAGGGGACTTCAGTTCCGTCTGTGCCGCCACACTCAATTTCCCAAAAATCCTTCGCACACCCCATTTTGCTGTTTTTTCAGGGCCTATTCCGCATATTTTATCACTCTGACCGGAAGGCAGCACATGGCGTGAGGTTGAACGTCACTCGTCGTCTGTCCAATGGTGACATCGAAGTGGTAGACCGTCTCATGTGAGCCAGAGTGAAACGAACAGTCCCTTGTTCGGGAACAGGCCAACACACCTGTGGCTCGCCAAACCACAAGCGTGGGACCCGAGAGCCCGTGGGAGTTCCTCTGGGTTCTCTGGGTTCCGTGTAGCCCGAGTCCTGGGTGGCCGAAAGGCCAGGGGGATCATTGCTGGAAGCCATGGAAGCATTGCTATCCCCAACTCAACACAGATGAAGGCCTGCCCTTATCAGAGAGATGAAGAGAGAGCGTCAACAGAAAGTGAGGGCGGCGACTCGAAGCAAAGCACTTACCAACTACTGACTAGCGAGAACAACAGCAAAACAGCAGTGTTTTGCCTACCGTCAATGTCCCTTCCGTTACAAGTCCTTGTGCCGCTGGGGATGGCACCTACAGTGCCCCGTCTGTTGCCACATCCCACCGCTAGGAAAGAGCTTGGACAGTCATCCCCCTAGCTGACTCAATGGAGTCGATTGTGTTCAAATGAACCCGACCGAACGCACGCAACAGGTGCATGCCTATGCAAACGAACCTGAACGAAAGAATAAAAGATATAGTTTTTGAATGCCCGCCCACGATTGTATACGTTTGGCGCTCCTCTGAAGGCGATGTCAGTTGGACAATCATGACCTCACAGCCGAACAGCACTTGTGTCTTTTCTTTGGAGGCCATTGTGCCCATGCGAATCACTGTGACAGCGTTGCGGTATTGAAACCCCTGCTCCCACGATGTCAATAACACAACAACGACAGTGTTCTCGCAATATGCAAATGCAAGCACTGTTGTTTTTTGGGGGTCCAGGATTGCCCGAGTGCATGTTTCCTTTTATTTACCAAATATGATTGAAAGACTAAACAGCGCTAGTGGGACAAAGCCCCGGAAGTTGGGAGGGTGGTAGGGAAAACAAAAGAAATCCTAGAAGACGAGAAAAAAAAGGAAAACCTATTGTCGGACCGTGTCAGTAAGATTAAGGTCCGACAGGATCGCACGGGTTCAATTTACTGACAAGAACGGCGGAAATATTCTGGCAGTGGTGACCACAGGCAAAATCGTTTCGGAAGAAGCGGCTCCTGATGAAGCTAATACGGGGCTCAGCCGAAACAGGCAGGGGAATTGCGAGCGTCTGGCCTACCGTGTGCTTACTGGGTCTGTCTTTATTCGTCGTCGGGTGAAGCCATAGCTTCTGCTATGGTGGATGATACTCTTGGTCCTTGACTAGTTTATTTCGAAGAGTGAAGTCTCGCGAGTTCTCACATCCTCGCAAGTTCCCTGGCTCACTGGTGTGCGCATTTCGCTCTATGCTTCTTTCTGTTGGTCGGTTGAAATGGGGGAATGTTCATATGTTCTTCTGATTTTTTTTTGGAGCTTATGTTTTTGGATCTGCGACCAGTGTCGAACACATTACTTTAGACTGGAGGCTGCTCAGGCACCAACAGCACATCAAGTCAACCATGAATGCTTAAGGGGAACATCCCATGCTGATGTATATCCATGTTAAGCTGCTTTGTGCACCGGGTAATTGGCTACTCTTAGAGCTATTGCCTGGTACTCTCTCTCTCTCTCTCTCTCTCTCTCTCTCTCTCTCTCTCTCTCTCTCTCTCTCTCACACACACACACACACACACACACACACACACACACACACACACACACACACACGCACATACACACACACACACACAACAACAACAATGGCCGTTTCGCTGTTGCAGGCAATTCAGTTTTCGAATGAGCAGCAGTCTGTACCAAAAACAATGTTTCAATAATCTCTTACCCCATCAGTAATGGTGGAAGGTCGAGGTTCCAAGGGTTCGGTTGTTCGCCGATAAAAGTGGTAAAGTTGGTAAACTCGTTGTCGTGTCAGACGAGTAATGTCTGACCTTACAAAAAACGGACCAGCGCGGCCCCACCCTCCTGATGAGTCGATGAAACTCCTGATGGAAAGTGTCCACCACAGCCCCCCGTTTCTTGTCCATTTCGCGCTTTCTCCCAACAGTTCACTGAGCCGACTTTCAACGATATATGTACATAATACATATTAAATTGTCATGCAGTTAGAGGCAAACCTTGCTCTTGGTGCCTGAACAGTGAGCACTGATCTCTTTCTTGACAATGGCAGACTCCCGTTGAGGAGGCTGCTGCTGCTGCTGGCAGCCACCAGAACATTCGATCCTGAAACAATTACTGCCGCAGAATGTGAAACTCATCAACGTGACCTTCAGATTAACATGATATAGCATATGAAAACTGTTCCAACGTGGTCCTCAAATTACCACAGTGGAATCTGAAACCTGCATGGAAGTGGGAACCGGTTTTCCCATCGTCTCCAAATTACCGCAAAAAATACGGCAGGGCCTCCAATGTTGGAAATCTAGGCTGGAATGACTGCAGTAAAATATCAACCTCACAACTGCAAATCATTTTGCAGTTGTTGCCGAATTACTGAGAGAGAGAATGCCCCACCCTCCTCCATCGCCGAAAGCCAGAGGTGATTTTCCTGCGCTCAAAGAAATTACCATGGTGTAATCTCAAACTCACTTGAGAGCCATAACTCATTTCACTCTCGTCTCCAAATTACCGTTGCCAAATGTCACACCCACTCCTCTCTTCAATAACAGGCCCTAAAATTAGTTACCTCCCCCAATTGACGTCGCATCCTTGCCCTTCTGTTGGACAATCCCTCAATTCTCCTGAGATGATGGCCACATTGACGTTGCGCCCCCTCACTGTAAGTGAATGAACGGTACATGAATAATATCCGTAGCAACGAGGAGGAAAAAGAACCAAACTACGAACGTCATCGAAAACACGATCGCCATTGTGTCCATTACTGCACAAGCTCAACATCCATCAACAACAAAGGAAAAAAAAAACATCGCATGAGGACAAAGTAAACGGAAGAAGCAAGAGCACCGGCGACTGCCTGCTGCTGTCACAATCACAAATGCCTACAGTTGATAATAATCAGGTCACAAGTTCAAGTCCAGTTGGACGCAGAAATACTGTTCGCTACTGCATTCGAACTGCCACCGCATCCGAGCCCCCCTTAACATCCTGCCAGAACAAAAGGGGGCTATAGGTACAGATTTGCGGGCACTCGGCAAGTTAAGACTCGTCACATGCGAAGAGATGTCCTGTACAATTATGTCTTTCAGAAACAAATCTGGAAAAGATTCATTACATAGCTGTGCCAATTTGGGGAATTGGCGCTTTTTTGGCTCAGATGTGTATGCGGTGGCTTAGAAGAGAGAGGAGGGGAAGGGAGGACTAAGCAGGAGCACAACACACCCATCAGGAAATGTTTGAAAGTCCTTTGTTACTAACACAAGGGAGTGAAGGACAGAAAAGGAGAAACGGAAAAGAAACGATGGGCCTGAAGGAGTAGCCCTAGTGTGAAAACACTTGGCTTGCTCCCCAAGCAAGTCCCCACCATGTCCCCCCCCCCCTCAAATCCACCCTCCCCCCCTCATTTGGCTGCATCCTCAACGGATCCCCTTCAACCAAGGATTCTCCCCAATATCTGTCTACCTCATGCCAACCACCTTCAACCCCCTCCCCCCCCCCCCCCCCCCCCCCCCCCCCCCCCCCCCCCCCCCCCCCCCCCCCCCCCCCCCCCCTTTTTCTCCCCTTTCCCAGCACCCACACCACCTCATTTGACTGCATCCTCAACCAACCCCCTCGTTTGGCAGCATTCTCCTCAACAACCCCCCTGGACCAAGGTTGCTCCCCAGAGCGAGACTTGGAGGGCTGGCATTCTCAGTCAGCCTACTACCTTCTGCACCCGAATACAACGTACGGTCAGTATAGCTGTACTTGGAGTATCTTTCAGTCTAAATACAGCTACAATGACCGTACCTTGTATTTGGGTGAAGAAGATAGTAGGCCTCAGCCGGCAGTAGGACAACAAGCTAGAAATTGAGTAACAGGCGGAGGCCTCGCATCCTTCAACTTCGAAGTGAGGAGTTGGAGGAGCTGGATAAGTTGGAGTTGTAAGGACTTGGAGGATGACCGACACAGCAGACGTGGGACTGGGACTGGGACTAGGACGGACTTTGCAAGTAGTGGCGTGAATGGGAATGGGACTGCCTTTGCAAGCAGAGGTGGGACTGGGATATACTCCTCAAGGTGGGAATTGAAGGATGGTCGACACAACAGAGGTCGGATGAGACTGGCACTGTATTCTGCTTGCAAGGAGTGGGACTGGGACTGGGACTGGGACTGGGAAAGATGGGACTGTGCTCTGCTGGGATGGGACTGACATTGTGTTCTGCTTGCAAGGAGCGGAACTGGATTTGGGACTGGGACTGGGACTGGGACTGGGAATGGGAAAGGGAAAGGGACTGGGGCTGAGAATGGGACCGGAACTGTGCTCTGGGGACAAGCAGAGGTAGAACTGGGACTGACTTTGCAAGCAGAGCACAGCTATGTGGGTGAATAACTACTGTCTTCGCCTGAACACAATGCATCCTCGTCACGCCTGTACCGAACCGGCAAGATAGCTTGCGTATATTTATTGCGTATATTTATTCATTCATGATGAGGAGGTACTGGGCTCAGTGGAAGACGCCAGCACTGACTACTGCAATTGTATTACGTAAATACTGCACAACGGTTGCGCTGTCCTGTGTCCACCACCAATAGTTTATCTGGCAGGAATTCATTGCACGTGAAGGGCTGCGCACAGGCCAGAATGACATAGGGAAACTAAATCCACGAGAACACGGAATGAAAAGGGAAACTCCACGCATACACCTGTGTGAATACGTCCCGAGAACACACACGTGTGTGTGTGGGTGTGGGCATGGGTGTGTCGCCCAGAGAGAGAGAGAGAGAGAGAGAGAGAGAGAGAGAGAGAGAGAGAGAGAGAGAGAGAGAGAGAGAGAG